TGAGTCTATGGGTCTCTGTGTGGTGGTGGTGAGTCTATGGGTCTCTGTGTGATGGTGAGTCTATGGGTCTCTGTGTGGTGATGAGTCTATGGGTCTCTGTGTGGTGGTGATGAGTCTATGGGTCTCTGTGTGATGGTGAGTCGACGGGTCTCTGTGTGGTGGTGGTGAGTCTATGGGTCTCTGTGTGGTGGTGAGTCTATGGGTCTCTGTGTGGTGGTGAGTCTATGGGTCTCTGTGTGGTGGTGAGTCTTTGGGTCTCTGTGTGGTGGTGAGTCTGTGGGTCTCTGTGTGGTGGTGAGTCTATGGGTCTCTGTGTGATGGTGAGTCTATGGGTCTCTGTGTGGTGGTGAGTCTATGGGTCTCTGTGTGGTGGTGAGTCTTTGGGTCTCTGTGTGGTGGTGAGTCTGTGGGTCTCTGTGTGGTGGTGAGTCTGTGGGTCTCTGTGTGGTGGTGAGTCTACGGGTCTGTGTGGTGGTGAGTCTATCGGTCTCTGTGTGGTGGTGAGTCTATCGGTCTCTGTGTGGTGGTGAGTCTATGGGTCTCTGTGTGGTGGTGAGTCTATGGGTCTCTGTGTGGTGGTGAGTCTATGGGTCTCTGTGTGGTGGTGGTGAGTCTATGGGTCTCTGTGTGGTGGTGAGTCTATGGGTCTCTGTGTGATGGTGAGTCTATGGGTCTCTGTGTGGTGGTGGTGAGTCTATGGGTCTCTGTGTGATGGTGAGTCTACGGGTCTCTGTGTGGTGGTGAGTCTATGGGTCTCTGTGTGATGGTGAGTCTATGGGTCTCTGTGTGATGATGAGTCTATGGGTCTCTGTGTGATGATGAGTCTATGGGTCTCTGTTTGGTGGTGATGAGTCTATGGGTCTCTGTGTGGTGGTGATGAGTCTATGGGTCTCTGTGTGGTGGTGGTGAGTCTACGGGTCTCTGTGTGATGGTGAGTCTACGCGTCTCTGTGTGGTGGTGGTGAGTCTATGGGTCTCTGTGTGGTGGTGAGTCTACGGGTCTCTGTGTGGTGGTGGTGAGTCTATGGGTCTCTGTGTGGTGGTGGTAAGTCTATGGGTCTCTGTGTGATGGTGAGTCTATGGGTCTCTGTGTGGTGGTGGTGAGTCTATGGGTCTCTGTGTGATGGTGAGTCTATGGGTCTCTGTGTGATGATGAGTCTATGGGTCTCTGTGTGATGGTGAGTCTATGGGTCTCTGTGTGATGATGAGTCTATGGGTCTCTGTGTGATGATGAGTCTATGGGTCTCTGTGTGGTGGTGATGAGTCTATGGGTCTCTGTGTGGTGGTGATGAGTCTATGGGTCTCTGTGTGGTGGTGGTGAGTCTACGGGTCTCTGTGTGATGGTGAGTCTACGGGTCTCTGTGTGGTGGTGGTGAGTCTATGGGTCTCTGTGTGGTGGTGAGTCTACGGGTCTCTGTGTGGTGGTGGTGAGTCTATGGGTCTCTGTGTGGTGGTGGTGAGTCTATGGGTCTCTGTGTGATGGTGAGTCTATGGGTCTCTGTGTGGTGGTGGTGAGTCTATGGGTCTCTGTGTGATGGTGAGTCTATGGGTCTCTGTGTGGTGATGAGTCTACGGGTCTCTGTGTGATGGTGAGTCTATGGGTCTCTGTGTGATGATGAGTCTATGGGTCTCTGTGTGATGATGAGTCTATGGGTCTCTGTGTGGTGGTGATGAGTCTATGGGTCTCTGTGTGGTGGTGATGAGTCTATGGGTCTCTGTGTGGTGGTGGTGAGTCTACGGGTCTCTGTGTGATGGTGAGTCTACGCGTCTCTGTGTGGTGGTGGTGAGTCTATGGGTCTCTGTGTGGTGGTGAGTCTACGGGTCTCTGTGTGGTGGTGGTGAGTCTATGGGTCTCTGTGTGGTGGTGGTGAGTCTATGGGTCTCTGTGTGATGGTGAGTCTATGGGTCTCTGTGTGGTGGTGGTGAGTCTATGGGTCTCTGTGTGATGGTGAGTCTATGGGTCTCTGTGTGGTGGTGAGTCTACGGGTCTCTGTGTGATGGTGAGTCTATGGGTCTCTGTGTGATGATGAGTCTATGGGTCTCTGTGTGATGATGAGTCTATGGGTCTCTGTGTGGTGGTGATGAGTCTATGGGTCTCTGTGTGGTGGTGATGAGTCTATGGGTCTCTGTGTGGTGGTGGTGAGTCTACGGGTCTCTGTGTGATGGTGAGTCTACGCGTCTCTGTGTGGTGGTGGTGAGTCTATGGGTCTCTGTGTGGTGGTGAGTCTACGGGTCTCTGTGTGGTGGTGGTGAGTCTATGGGTCTCTGTGTGGTGGTGGTGAGTCTATGGGTCTCTGTGTGATGGTGAGTCTATGGGTCTCTGTGTGGTGGTGGTGAGTCTATGGGTCTCTGTGTGATGGTGAGTCTATGGGTCTCTGTGTGGTGATGAGTCTATGGGTCTCTGTGTGGTGATGAGTCTATGGGTCTCTGTGTGGTGGTGATGAGTCTATGGGTCTCTGTGTGATGGTGAGTCGACGGGTCTCTGTGTGGTGGTGGTGAGTCTATGGGTCTCTGTGTGGTGGTGAGTCTATGGGTCTCTGTGTGGTGGTGAGTCTATGGGTCTCTGTGTGGTGGTGAGTCTATGGGTCTCTGTGTGGTGGTGGTGAGTCTATGGAGCTCTGTGTGGTGGTGATGAGTCTATGGGTCTCTGTGTGGTGGTGAGTCTATGGGTCTCTGTGTGGTGGTGAGTCTATGGGTCTCTGTGTGATGGTGAGTCTATGGGTCTCTGTGTGGTGGTGAGTCTACGGTTCTCTGTGTGGTGGTGAGTCTATGGGTCTCTGTGTGGTGGTGAGTCTATGGGTCTCTGTGTGATGATGAGTCTATGGGTCTCTGTGTGATGGTGAGTCTATGGGTCTCTGTGTGATGATGAGTCTATGGGTCTCTGTGTGATGGTGAGTCTACGGGTCTCTGTGTGGTGGTGATGAGTCTATGGGTCTCTGTGTGGTGGCGAGTCTATGGGTCTCTGTGTGGTGGTGATGAGTCTATGGGTCTCTGTGTGGTGGTGGTGAGTCTACGGGTCTCTGTGTGATGGTGAGTCTACGCGTCTCTGTGTGGTGGTGGTGAGTCTATGGGTCTCTGTGTGGTGGTGAGTCTATGGGTCTCTGTGTGGTGATGAGTCTATGGGTCTCTGTGTGGTGGTGGTGAGTCTATGGGTCTCTGTGTGATGGTGAGTCTATGGGTCTCTGTGTGGTGGTGAGTCTACGGGTCTCTGTGTGGTGGTGAGTCTACGGGTCTCTGTGTGATGGTGAGTCTACGGGTCTCTGTGTGGTGGTGGTGAGTCTATGGGTCTCTGTGTGATGGTGAGTCTATGGGTCTCTGTGTGATGGTGAGTCTATGGGTCTCTGTGTGATGGTGAGTCTACGGGTCTCTGTGTGGTGGTGAGTCTACGGGTCTCTGTGTGATGGTGAGTCTATGGGTCTCTGTGTGGTGGTGGTGAGTCTATGGGTCTCTGTGTGATGGTGAGTCTATGGGTCTCTGTGTGGTGATGAGTCTATGGGTCTCTGTGTGGTGGTGATGAGTCTATGGGTCTCTGTGTGATGGTGAGTCGACGGGTCTCTGTGTGGTGGTGGTGAGTCTATGGGTCTCTGTGTGGTGGTGAGTCTATGGGTCTCTGTGTGGTGGTGAGTCTATGGGTCTCTGTGTGGTGGTGAGTCTATGGGTCTCTGTGTGGTGGTGGTGAGTCTATGGGGCTCTGTGTGGTGGTGATGAGTCTATGGGTCTCTGTGTGGTGGTGAGTCTATGGGTCTCTGTGTGGTGGTGAGTCTATGGGTCTCTGTGTGATGGTGAGTCTATGGGTCTCTGTGTGGTGGTGAGTCTACGGTTCTCTGTGTGGTGGTGAGTCTATGGGTCTCTGTGTGGTGGTGAGTCTATGGGTCTCTGTGTGATGATGAGTCTATGGGTCTCTGTGTGATGGTGAGTCTACGGGTCTCTGTGTGGTGGTGAGTCTATGGGTCTCTGTGTGATGGTGAGTCTATGGGTCTCTGTGTGATGGTGAGTCTACGGGTCTCTGTGTGGTGGTGATGAGTCTATGGGTCTCTGTGTGATGGTGAGTCTATGGGTCTCTGTGTGGTGGTGAGTCTATGGGTCTCTGTGTGATGGTGAGTCTATGGGTCTCTGTGTGATGGTGAGTCTACGGGTCTCTGTGTGGTGGTGATGAGTCTATGGGTCTCTGTGTGATGGTGAGTCTACGGGTCTCTGTGTGATGGTGAGTCTACGGGTCTCTGTGTGGTGGTGGTGAGTCTATGGGTCTCTGTGTGGTGGTGAGTCTGTGGGTCTCTGTGTGGTGGTGGTGAGTCTATGGGTCTCTGTGTGGTGGTGAGTCTATGGGTCTCTGTGTGATGATGAGTCTACGGGGCTCTGTGTGGTGGTGAGTCTATGGGTCTCTGTGTGGTGATGAGTCTATGGGTCTCTGTGTGGTGGTGGTGGTGGTGAGTCTGTGGGTCTCTGTGTGGTGGTGAGTCTGTGGGTCTCTGTGTGATGATAAGTCTGTGGGTCTCTGTGTGGTGGTGAGTCTACGGGGCTCTGTGTGGTGGTGAGTCTATGGGTCTCTGTGTGGTGGTGGTGGTGGTGGTGAGTCTGTGGGTCTCTGTGTAGCGGTGGTGAGTCTGTGGGTCTCTGTGTGGTGGTGAGTCTACGGGGCTCTGTGTGGTGGTGAGTCTGTGGGTCTCTGTGTGGTGGTGGTGGTGAGTCTGTGGGTTTCTGTGTGGTGGTTGTGGTGAGTCTGTGGGTCTCTGTGTGGTGGTTGTGGTGAGTCTGTGGGTCTCTGTGTGGTGGTTGTGGTGAGTCTGTGGGTCTCTGTGTGGTGGTGGTGGTGAGTCTGTGGGTCTCTGTGTGGTGGTTGTGGTGAGTCTGTGGGTCTCTATGTGGTGGTGAGTCTATGGGTCTCTGTGTGGTGGTGAGTCTATGGGTCTCTGTGTGATGGTGGTGGTGGTAGTGGTGGTGAGTGGTGGTGGTGGTGGTGAGTGGTGGTGGTGAGTGGTGGTGGTGGTGATGTCGCCTGACCTCTCAGCACCTCGACCTGGTCATCCTTGACCTCAAAGAGGAGTTCATCGTGCAGCTGTGCCACCAGCCTGGCACACAAAGACAAAGGTGTCACGTGTAGCTCACATGCTCACTCACTCACACACACACTCACTCATACACTCACTCACACACTCACTCATACACTCACACACTCACACACACACTCACTCACTCACACACTCACACACACACTCACACATACACTCACACACTCACAGTCACTTACACACTCATACACTCACTCACTCACTCATACACTCACTCATACACACACTCAGTCACACACTCACTCACTTACACCCTCACACCCTCACTCACTCACTCACACACTCACTCACACCCTCACCCACTCGTCACTCACTTTGCTCGGAGGGACGGGCGCTGCCCCAGTTCTGTGAATATCCGAATCATGGACATCTTGCAGATATCAGCAGCGGAGCCTGGCAACACCACACAGAGACACCGCCACCACACGGCCATCGTGAACCCCCCTGAGAGAGAGACACCCAGACCCAGGGCTTGAACCCTGACCCCAGGGTCTCAGTGTCTCTGACACGGCCATCGTGAACCCCCTAAGAGACACCCAGACCCAGGGCTTGAACCCTGACCCCAGGGTCTCAGTGTCTCTGACACGGCCATTGTGAACCCCCTGAGAGAGACACTCAGACCCAGGGCTTGAACCCTGACCCCAGGGTCTCAGTGTCTCTGACACGGCCATCGTGAACCCCCTTGAGAGAGAGACACCCAGACCCAGGGCTTGAACCCTGACCCCAGGCTCTCAGTGTCTCTGACACGGCCATCGTGAACCCCCTTGAGAGAGAGACACCCAGACCCAGGGCTTGAACCCTGACCCCAGGGTCTCAGTGTCTCTGACACGGCCATCGTGAACCCCCTGAGAGAGAGAGAGACACCCAGACCCAGGGCTTGAACCCTGACCCCAGGCTCTCAGTGTCTCTGACACAGCCATTGTGAACCCCCTTGAGAGAGAGAGACACCCAGACCCAGGGCTTGAACCCTGACCCCAGGGTCTCAGTGTCTCTGACACGGCCATCGTGAACCCCCCTGAGAGAGAGAGAGACACCCAGACCCAGGGCTTGAACCCTGACCCCAGGGTCTCAGTGTCTCTGACACGGCCATCGTGAACCCCCTGAGAGAGAGAGAGACACCCAGACCCAGGGCTTGAACCCTGACCCCAGGGTCTCGATGTCTCTGACACGGCCATCGTGAACCCCCTGAGAGAGAGACACCCAGACCCAGGGCTTGAACCCTGACCCCAGGGTCTCAGTGTCTCTGACACGGCCATCGTGAACCCCCTGAGAGAGAGACACCCAGACCCAGGGCTTGAACCCTGACCCCAGGGTCTCAGTGTCTGTGACACAGCCATTGTGAACCCCCTTGAGAGAGAGACACCCAGACCCAGGGCTTGAACCCTGACCCCAGGGTCTCGGTGTCTCTGACACGGCCATCGTGAACCCCCCTGAGAGAGAGAGACACCCAGACCCAGGGCTTGAACCCTGACCCCAGGGTCTCAGTGTCTCTGACACGGCCATCGTGAACCCCCTTGAGAGAGAGACACCCAGACCCAGGGCTTGAACCCTGACCCCAGGCTCTCGGTGTCTCTGACACGGCCATCGTGAACCCCCTGAGAGAGAGACACCCAGACCCAGGGCTTGAACCCTGACCCCAGGGTCTCAGTGTCTCTGACACGGCCATCGTGAACCCCCTTGAGAGAGAGACACCCAGACCCAGGGCTTGAACCCTGACCCCAGGGTCTCAGTGTCTCTGACACGGCCATCGTGAACCCCCTGAGAGAGAGAGACACCCAGACCCAGGGCTTGAACCCTGACCCCAGGGTCTCAGTGTCTCTGACACGGCCATCGTGAACCCCCCTGAGAGAGAGAGACACCCAGGGCTTGAACCCTGACCCCAGGGTCTCAGTGTCTCTGACACGGCCATCGTGAACCCCCTTGAGAGAGACACCCAGACCTAGGGCTTGAACCCTGACCCCAGGGTCTCGGTGTCTCTGACACGGCCATCGTGAACCCCCTGAGACACTCAGACCCACGGCTTGAACCCTGACCCCAGGGTCTCAGTGTCTCTGACACGGCCATCGTGAATCCCCTGAGAGAGAGACACCCAGACCCAGGGCTTGAACCCTGACCCCAGGGTCTCAGTGTCTGTGACACAGCCATTGTGAACCCCCTTGAGAGAGAGACACCCAGACCCAGGGCTTGAACCCTGACCCCAGGGTCTCAGTGTCTCTGACACGGCCATCGTGAACCCCCCTGAGAGAGAGACACCCAGACCCAGGGCTTGAACCCTGACCCCAGGGTCTCAGTGTCTGTGACACAGCCATTGTGAACCCCCTTGAGAGAGAGACACCCAGACCCAGGGCTTGAACCCTGACCCCAGGGTCTCAGTGTCTCTGACACGGCCATCGTGAACCCCCCTGAGAGAGAGACACCCAGACCCAGGGCTTGAACCCTGACCCCAGGGTCTCGGTGTCTCTGACACGGCCATCGTGAACCCCCTTGAGAGAGAGAGACACCCAGACCCAGGGCTTGAACCCTGACCCCAGGGTCTCAGTATCTCTGACACGGCCATCGTCAACCCCCTGAGAGAGAGAGACACCCAGACCCAGGGCTTGAACCCTGACCCCAGGGTCTCAGTGTCTCTGACACGGCCATCGTGAACCCCCTGAGAGAGACACCCAGACCCAGGGCTTGAACCCTGACCCCAGGGTCTCAGTGTCTCTGACACGGCCATCGTGAACCCCCTGAGAGAGACACCCAGACCCAGGGCTTGAACCCTGACCCCAGGGTCTCAGTGTCTCTGACACGGCCATCGTGAACCCCCTTGAGAGAGAGAGATACCCAGACCCAGGGCTTGAACCCTGACCCCAGGGTCTCAGTGTCTCTGACACGGCCATCGTGAACCCCCTTGAGACACCCAGACCCAGGGCTTGAACCCTGACCCCAGGCTCTCAGTGTCTCTGACACGGCCATCGTGAACCCCCTGAGACACCCAGACCCAGGGCTTGAACCCTGACCCCAGGGTCTCAGTGTCTCTGACACGGCCATTGTGAACCCCCTTGAGAGAGAGAGACACCCAGACCCAGGGCTTGAACCCTGACCCCAGGGTCTCAGTGTCTCTAACACGGCCATCGTGAACCCCCTTGAGAGAGAGACACCCAGACCCAGGGCTTGAACCCTGACCCCAGTGTCTCAGTGTCTCTGACACGGCCATCGTGAACCCTCTGAGAGAGAGACACCCAGACCCAGGGCTTGAACCCTGACCCCAGGGTCTCAGTGTCTCTGACACGGCCATCGTGAACCCCCTGAGAGAGAGACACCCAGACCCAGGGCTTGAACCCTGACCCCAGGGTCTCAGTGTCTCTGACACGGCCATTGTGAACCCCCTTGAGAGAGAGAGACACCCAGACCCAGGGCTTGAACCCTGACCCCAGGGTCTCAGTGTCTCTGACACAGCCATCGTGAACCCCCTGAGACACCCAGACCCAGGGCTTGAACCCTGACCCCAGGGTCTCAGTGTCTCTGACACAGCCATCGTGAACCCCCTGAGACACCCAGACCCAGGGCTTGAACCCTGACCCCAGGGTCTCGGTGTCTCTGACACGGCCATCGTGAACCCCCTGAGACACCCAGACCCAGGGCTTGAACCCTGACCCCAGGGTCTCAGTGTCTCTGACACGGCCATCGTGAACCCCCTGAGAGACACCCAGACCCAGGGCTTGAACCCTGACCCCAGGGTCTCAGTGTCTCTGACACGGCCATCGTGAACCCCCCTGAGAGAGAGAGACACCCAGACCCAGGGCTTGAACCCTGACCCCAGGGTCTCAGTGTCTGTGACACGGCCATCGTGAACCCCCTGAGACACCCAGACCCAGGGCTTGAACCCTGACCCCAGGGTCTCAGTGTCTCTGACACGGCCATCGTGAACCCCCTGAGACACCCAGACCCAGGGCTTGAACCCTGACCCCAGGGTCTCAGTGTCTCTGACACGGCCATCGTGAACCCCCTGAGAGACACCCAGACCCAGGGCTTGAACCCTGACCCCAGGGTCTCAGTGTCTCTGACACGGCCATCGTGAACCCCCCTGAGAGAGAGAGACACCCAGACCCAGGGCTTGAACCCTGACCCCAGGGTCTCAGTGTCTGTGACACGGCCATCGTGAACCCCCTGAGACACCCAGACCCAGGGCTTGAACCCTGACCCCAGGGTCTCAGTGTCTCTGACACGGCCATCGTGAACCCCCTGAGAGAGAGACACCCAGACCCAGGGCTTGAACCCTGACCCCAGGGTCTCAGTGTCTCTGACACGGCCATCGTGAACCCCCTGAGACACTCAGACCCACGGCTTGAACCCTGACCCCAGGGTCTCAGTGTCTCTGACACGGCCATCGTGAACCCCCTGAGAGAGAGAGACACCCAGACCCAGGGCTTGAACCCTGACCCCAGGCTCTCAGTGTCTCTGACACGGCTATCGTGAACCCCCCTGAGAGAGAGACACCCAGACCCAGGGCTTGAACCCTGACCCCAGGGTCTCAGTGTCTCTGACACGGCCATCGTGAACCCCCCTGAGAGAGAGAGACACCCAGACCCAGGGCTTGAACCCTGAACCCAGGGTCTCAGTGTCTCTGACACGGCCATCGTGAACCCCCCTGAGAGAGACACCCAGACCCAGGGCTTGAACCCTGACCCCAGGGTCTCAGTGTCTCTGACACGGCCATCGTGAACCCCCCTGAGAGACACCCAGACCCAGGGCTTGAACCCTGACCCCAGGGTCTCAGTGTCTCTGACACGGCCATCGTGAACCCCCCCTTGAGAGACACCCAGACCCAGGGCTTGAACCCTGACCCCAGGGTCTCGGTGTCTCTGACACGGCCATCGTGAACCCCCCTGAGAGAGACACCCAGACCCAGGGCTTGAACCCTGACCCCAGGGTCTCAGTGTCTCTGACACAGCCATCGTGAACCCCCTGAGACACCCAGACCCAGGGCTTGAACCCTGACCCCAGGGTCTCAGTGTCTCTGACACGGCCATTGTGAACCCCCTGAGAGAGACACCCAGACCCAGGGCTTGAACCCTGACCCCAGGCTCTCAGTGTCTCTGACACGGCCATCGTGAACCCCCTGAGACACCCAGACCCAGGGCTTGAACCCTGACACCAGGCTCTCAGTGTCTCTGACACGGCCATCGTGAACCCCCTGAGAGACACCCAGACCCAGGGCTTGAACCCTGACCCCAGGGTCTCAGTGTCTCTGACACGGCCATCGTGAACCCCCTGAGACACCCAGACCCAGGGCTTGAACCCTGACCCCAGGGTCTCAGTGTCTCTGACACGGCCATCGTGAACCCCCTGAGAGAGAGACACCCAGACCCAGGGCTTGAACCCTGACCCCAGGCTCTCAGTGTCTCTGACACGGCCATCGTGAAACCCCCTGAGAGAGAGAGACACCCAGACCCAGGGCTTGAACCCTGACCCCAGGGTCTCAGTGTCTCTGACACGGCCATCGTGAACCCCCTGAGACACCCAGACCCAGGGCTTGAACCCTGACACCTGAACCAGGGCCTGGGTGTCTCACCCTGCACCATGAAGTTGCAGGCTTGCCGCTGGGCGTTGGAGCGGAGGCGAAAGTCAGGGGAGGAGATGTTGGGGAGCCATCGCTTGCGTCCCATCACCGACATCACGAATCCTGCACCACCACCGCCACCATCATCATCATCATCATCCCCGCCATCATCATCATCATCATCGTCATCACAACAACCATCATCGTCATCATCACCACCGTGATTATAACAACAATCATCATCATCATCATCATCACAACAACCATTACCATCATCCCAACAATCATTATCATTAGCCCAACCATCATCATCATCATCACCACCACCACAACCATCATCATCCCAACAACCATCATCATCGCAACAACCATCATCATCCCAACAACCATCATCATCATCACCATCACAACAACCATCATCATCACGACCATCATCATTATCAAAACCACCATCATCATCATCGTCATCCCAAAAACCATCATCATCACAACAACCATCATCATCCCAACAACCATCATCATCGCAACAACCATCATCATCCCAACAACCATCATCATCATCATCACCATCACAACAACCATCATCATCACGACCATCATCATTATCAAAACCACCATCATCATCATCGTCATCCCAAAAACCATCATCATCACAACAACCATCATCATCATCACCATCACAACAACCATCATCATCACCACTACCACCATTATCATCATCACAACCATCATCATCACCACAACAATCATCATCACAACTACCATCATCATCATCACAACAACCATCATCATCATCACCACCACAACCACCATCATCATCATCACAAGCACCAGGTGACGATGGTGATGGAGATGATGGTGAATAGGTAATGATGATCATGATGGTGAGGCGGAGCTGGTGAGGAGGTGGTGATGATGATGCTGGTGAGGAGCTGGTGAGGAGCTGGTGAGGAGCTGGTGAGGAGCTGGTGAGGAGCTGGTGAGGAGCGGTACTGGGACGGTGGCAGTGTGTAACAGCGCGCTGGGTGAAGGCGGTGATCGCTGTAACGATGGTGATGATGATGGTGGTGGCGGTGATGATGGTGGTGAGGAGCTGGTGAGGAGCTGGTGAGGAGCTGGTGAGGAGCTGGTGAGGAGTGGTACCATGACGCTGGCAGTATGTAACAGCGCGCTGGGTGAAGGCGGTGATCACTGTAACGATGGTGGTGGTGATGATGATGGTGATGATGGTGGTGGTGGTGAGGAGCTGGTGAGGAGCTGGTGAGGAGCTGGTGAGGAGCTGGTGAGGAGTGGTACCGTGACGCTGGCAGTGTGTAACAGCGCGCTGGGTGAAGGCGGTGATCGCTGGGTGTCGTCGCAGGAAAGCTGAGATCAGCGAGCGGCTGTGGCGGGGGGAGGCTCCCAGCGTCTTGGAGAGCCTCTCCTTCCCTGCTCAGTCAGAGACTCACTCAGAGACTTACTCAGAGACTCACTCAGAGACTCACTCAGTCAGAGACTCATTCAGAGACTTACTCAGAGACTCACTCAGAGACTCACTCAGTCAGAGACTCACTCAGAGACTCACTCAGTCAGAGACTCACTCAGAGATTCACTCAGTCAGTCAGAGACTCACTCAGAGACTCAGTCAGAGACTCACTCAGAGACTCACTCAGTCAGTCAGAGACTCACTCAGAGACTTACTCAGCCAGAGACACACTCAGAGATTCACTCACTCAGAGACTCACTCAGAGACTTACTCAGAGACTCACTCAGTCAGAGACTCACTCACTCAGAGACTCACTCAGAGACTCACTCAGAGACTCACTCAGTCAGAGACTCACTCAGTCAGAGACTCACTCAGAGACTCACTCAGTCAGAGACTCACTCAGAGACTCACTCAGAGACTCACTCAGTCAGAGACTCACTCAGTCAGAGACTCACTCAGTAAGAGACTCACTCAGTCAGAGACTCACTCAGTCAGAGACTCACTCAGAGACTCACTCAGTCAGAGACTCACTCAGTCAGAGACTCAGTCAGAGACTCACTCAGTCAGAGACTCACTCAGTCAGAGACTCACTCAGAGACTCAGTCAGAGACTAACTCAGTCAGAGACTCAATCAGAGACTCACTCAGAGATTCACTCAGTCAGAGACTCACTCAGAGACTCACTCAGTCAGAGACTCACTCAGTCAGAGAGTCACTCAGTCAGAGACTCAGTCAGAGACTCACTCAGAGACTCACTCACTCAGAGACTCACTCAGTCAGAGAGTCACTCAGTCAGAGACTCACTCAGTCAGAGACTCAGTCAGAGACTCACTCAGTCAGAGACTCACTCAGAGACTCAGTCAGAGACTCACTCAGTCAGAGACTCAATCAGAGACTCACTCAGAGACTCACTCACTCAGAGACTCACTCAGAGACTCAGTCAGAGAGTCACTCAGTCAGAGACTCAATCAGAGACTCACTCAGTCAGAGGCTCACTCAGTCAGAGACTCACTCAGTCAGAGACTCAGTCAGAGACTCACTCAGTCAGAGACTAACTCAGAGACTCACTCAGAGACTCACTCAGTCAGAGACTCACTCAGTCAGAGAGTCACTCAGTCAGAGACTCAGTCAGAGACTCACTCAGAGACTCACTCAGAGACTCACTCAGTCAGAGACTCACTCAGTCAGAGACTAACTCAGAGACTCACTCAGAGACTCACTCAGTCAGAGACTCACTCAGTCAGAGAGTCACTCAGTCAGAGACTCAGTCAGAGGACTCACTCAGAGACTCACTCAGAGACTCACTCAGTCAGAGACTCACTCAGTCAGAGACTCACTCAGAGACTCACTCAGAGACTCACTCAGTCAGAGACCTCAGTCAGAGACTCACTCAGTCAGAGACTCACTCAGAGACTCACTCAGTCAGAGACTCACTCAGTCAGAGACTCACTCAGTCAGAGACTCACTCAGTCAGAGACTCACTCAGAGACTCACTCAGAGACTCACTCAGTCAGAGACTCACTCAGTCAGAGAGTCACTCAGTCAGAGACTCAGTCAGAGACTCACTCAGAGACTCACTCAGTCAGAGACTCACTCACTCAGAGACTCACTCAGTCAGAGACTCACTCAGTCAGAGAGTCACTCAGTCAGAGACTCACTCAGAGACTCACTCAGAGACTCACTCAGTCAGAGACTCACTCAGTCAGAGACTCACTCAGTCAGAGACTCACTCAGTCAGAGACTAACTCAGAGACTCACTCAGAGACTCACTCAGTCAGAGAGTCACTCAGTCAGAGACTCACTCAGTCAGAGACTCAGTCAGAGACTCACTCAGTCAGAGACTCACTCAGAGACTCACTCAGTCAGAGACTAACTCAGAGACTCACTCAGAGACTCACTCAGTCAGAGACTCACTCAGTCAGAGAGTCACTCAGTCAGAGACTCAGTCAGAGACTCACTCAGAGACTCACTCAGAGACTCACTCAGTCAGAGACTCACTCAGTCAGAGACTCACTCAGAGACTCACTCAGAGACTCACTCAGTCAGAGACTCACTCAGTCAGAGAGTCACTCAGTCAGAGAGTCACTCAGTCAGAGACTCAGTCAGAGACTCACTCAGAGACTCACTCAGAGACTCACTCAGTCAGAGACTCACTCAGTCAGAGACTCACTCAGAGACTCACTCAGAGACTCACTCAGTCAGAGACTCAGTCAGAGACTCACTCAGTCAGAGACTCACTCAGAGACTCACTCAGTCAGAGACTCACTCAGTCAGAGACTCACTCAGTCAGAGACTCACTCAGTCAGAGACTCACTCAGAGACTCACTCAGAGACTCACTCAGTCAGAGACTCACTCAGTCAGAGAGTCACTCAGTCAGAGACTCAGTCAGAGACTCACTCAGTCAGAGACTCAGTCAGAGACTCACTCAGTCAGAGACTAACTCAGAGACTCACTCAGAGACTCACTCAGTCAGAGACTCACTCAGTCAGAGAGTCACTCAGTCAGAGACTCAGTCAGAGACTCACTCAGAGACTCACTCAGTCAGAGACTCACTCACTCAGAGACTCACTCAGTCAGAGACTCACTCAGTCAGAGAGTCACTCAGTCAGAGACTCACTCAGAGACTCACTCAGAGACTCACTCAGTCAGAGACTCACTCAGTCAGAGACTCACTCAGTCAGAGACTCACTCAGTCAGAGACTAACTCAGAGACTCACTCAGAGACTCACTCAGTCAGAGAGTCACTCAGTCAGAGACTCACTCAGTCAGAGACTCAGTCAGAGACTCACTCAGTCAGAGACTCACTCAGAGACTCACTCAGTCAGAGACTAACTCAGAGACTCACTCAGAGACTCACTCAGTCAGAGACTCACTCAGTCAGAGAGTCACTCAGTCAGAGACTCAGTCAGAGACTCACTCAGAGACTCACTCAGAGACTCACTCAGTCAGAGACTCACTCAGTCAGAGACTCACTCAGAGACTCACTCAGAGACTCACTCAGTCAGAGACTCACTCAGTCAGAGAGTCACTCAGTCAGAGACTCACTCAGAGACTCACTCAGAGACTCACTCAGTCAGAGACTCACTCAGTCAGAGACTCACTCAGAGACTCACTCAGAGACTCACTCAGTCAGAGACTCACTCAGTCAGAGACTCACTCAGAGACTCACTCAGAGACTCACTCAGTCAGAGACTCACTCAGTCAGAGAGTCACTCAGTCAGAGACTCACTCAGAGACTCACTCAGAGACTCACTCAGTCAGAGACTCACTCAGTCAGAGACTCACTCAGTCAGAGACTCACTCAGAGACTCACTCAGAGACTCACTCAGTCAGAGACTCACTCAGTCAGAGACTCACTCAGTCAGAGACTCACTCAGAGACTCACTCAGAGACTCACTCAGTCAGAGACTCACTCAGTCAGAGACTCACTCAGTCAGAGACTCACTCAGAGACTCACTCAGTCAGAGACTCACTCAGTCAGAGACTCAGTCAGAGACTCACTCAGTCAGAGACTCACTCAGTCAGAGACTCAGTCAGAGACTCACTCAGTCAGAGACTCACTCAGTCAGAGACTCACTCAGTCAGAGACTCACTCAGTCAGAGACTCACTCAGTCAGAGACTCACTCACTCAGAGGCTCACTCAGAGACTCAGTCAGAGAGTCACTCAGAGACTCACACACTCAGAGACTCACTCAGTCAGAGACTCACTCAGTCAGAGACTCACTCAGTCAGAGACTCACTCAGAGACTCACTCAGAGACTCACTCAGAGACTCACTCAGTCAGAGACTCACTCAGTCAGAGAGTCACTCAGTCAGAGACTCACTCAGTCAGAGAGTCACTCAGTCAGAGACTCAGTCAGAGACTCACTCAAAGACTCACTCAGAGACTCACTCAGTCAGAGACTCACTCAGTCAGAGACTCACTCAGTCAGAGACTCACTCAGTCAGAGACTCAGTCAGAGACTCACTCAAAGACTCACTCAGAGACTCACTCAGTCAGAGACTCACTCAGTCAGAGACTCACTCAGTCAGAGACTCACTCAGTCAGAGACTCAGTCAGAGACTCACTCAAAGACTCACTCAGTCAGAGACTCACTCAGTCAGAGACTCACTCAGAGACTCACTCAGTCAGAGACTCAGTCAGAGACTCACTCAGTCAGAGACTCACTCAGAGACTCACTCAGTCAGAGACTCACTCAGTCAGAGACACACTCAGTCAGAGACTCACTCAGTCAGAGACTCAGTCAGAGACTCACTCAGTCAGAGACTCACTCAGAGACTCACTCAGTCAGAGACTCAGTCAGAGACTCACTCAGTCAGAGACTCACTCAGTCAGAGACTCAGTCAGAGACTCACTCAGTCAGAGACTCACTCAGAGACTCACTCAGTCAGAGACTCAGTCAGAGACTCACTCAGTCAGAGACTCACTCAGAGACTCACTCAGTCAGAGACTCACTCAGTCAGAGACACACTCAGTCAGAGACTCACTCAGTCAGAGACTCAGTCAGAGACTCACTCAGAGACTCACTCAGTCAGAGACTCAGTCAGAGACTCACTCAGTCAGAGACTCACTCAGAGACTCACTCACTCAGAGAGTCACTCAGTCAGAGACTCACTCAGTCAGAGACTCACTCAGTCAGAGACTCAGTCAGAGACTCACTCAAAGACTCACTCACTCAGAGAGTCACTCAGTCAGAGACTCACTCAGTCAGAGACTCACTCAGTCAGAGACTCACTCAGAGACTCACTCACTCAGAGAGTCACTCAGTCAGAGACTCACTCAGTCAGAGACTCACTCAGAGACTCACTCACTCAGAGAGTCACTCAGTCAGAGACTCACTCAGTCAGAGACTCACTCAGTCAGAGACACACTCAGTCAGAGACTCACTCAGTCAGAGACACACTCAGTAGCTCACTCAGAGAGTGAGGAGGCAGTGGTGAGGAGGTGGTGGTGAGGAGGTGGTGAGGAGGTGGTGGTGAGGTGGTGGCGAGGTGGTGAGGAGGTGATGAGGAGGTGGTGAGGAGGTGGTGAGGTGGTGGTGGTGAGGAGGCAGTGGTGGTGAGGTGGTAAGGAGGTGGTGGTGAGGAGGTGGTGAGGAGGTGGTGAGGAGGTGGTGGTGAGGAGGTGGTGGTGAGGTGGTGAGGAGGTGGTGAGGAGGTGGTGGTGAGGAGGTGGTGGTGAGGTGGTGGTGAGGAGGTGGTGGCGAGGTGGTGGTGAGGTGGTAAGGAGGTGGTGGTGAGGAGTTGGTGAGGAGGTGGTGGTGAGGAGGTGGTGAGGAGGTGGTGGTGAGGATCTCACCGACTCCGTAGATGATGGAGTAGACTGTTCGCTTTCCCATCTCGCGCTCCTCCTCAGTCACCTCGTCCACCTCCTTACCCAGCCTGCACCACCACCACCACCATCACCATCATCAACATCATCACCACCATCATCATCACCACCACCATCACCATCATCACCATCATCACCACCACCATCATCACCACCACCACCATCATCATCACCACCATCATTACCATCAACATCATCAACATCATCATCATCATCACCACCACCATCATCATCATCACCACCATCATCATCATCATCAACATCATCACCACCACCAACATCACCACCACCATCATCACCATCACCACCATCAACATCATCACCACCATCAACATCATCATCATCACCATCATCACCACCATCATCACCATCACCACCATCATCACCATCATCATCATCACCATCATCACCACCACCCTCACCCTCAGCACCACCACCACCACCCTCACCACCACCACCACCACCACCCTCAGCACCACCACCACCACCCTCACCACCACCACCACCACCACCCTCACCACCACCACCACCACCACCCTCACCACCACCCTCACCACCACCCTCACCACCACCCTCACCACCACCCTCACCACCAACACCACCCTCACCACCACCACCACCCTCACCACCACCACCACCCTCACCACCACCACCACCCTCACCACCACCACCACCCTCACTACCACCACCCTCACCACCACCACCCTCACCCTCACTACCACCACCACCATCCTCACCACCCTCACCACCACCACCACCCTCACCACCCTCACCACCACCCTCACCACCACCACCACCCTCACCACCACCACCCTCACCACCACCCTCACCCTCACCACCCTCACCACCCTCACCCTCACCACTGTGCGGTGAGGGTGAGGAAGACGTCGGGGCCCGGCTCACTGAGGAGTCGCAGCAGCTCGGCGTCCCCGGAGAGGTGAGCCAAAAGACGCAGCTCCACCTGGGAGAAGTCTACGGTGGGGGTGGGTCACGTGGTGAGTCACGTGGTGAGTCACGTGGTGAGTCACGTGGTGAGTCACGTGGTGAGACACGTGGTGAGCCAAAAGACGCAGCTCCACCTGGGAGAAGTCTACGGTGGGGGTGGGTCACGTGGTGAGTCACGTGGTGAGTCACTGGGTGAGTCACGTGGTGAGTCATGTGGTGAGTCACGTGGTGAGACACGTGGTGAGACACGTGGTGAGCCACGTGGTGAGACACGTGGTGAGACACGTGGTGAGTCACGTGGTGAGTCACGTGGTGAGACACGTGGTGAGTCACGTGGTGAGACACGTGGTGAGACACTGGGTGAGTCACGTGGTGAGACACGTGGTGAGTCACGTGGTGAGTCACGTGGTGAGTCACGTGGTGAGTCACGTGGTGAGTCACGTGGTGAGACACGTGGTGAGCCAGGAGACGCAGCTCCACCTGGGAGAAGTCTACGGTGGGGGTGGGTCACGTGGTGAGTCACGTGGTGAGTCACGTGGTGAGTCACGTGGTGAGTCACGTGGTGAGACACGTGGTGAGCCAAAAGACGCAGCTCCACCTGGGAGAAGTCTACGGTGGGGGTGGGTCACGTGGTGAGTCACGTGGTGAGTCACTGGGTGAGTCACGTGGTGAGTCATGTGGTGAGTCACGTGGTGAGACACGTGGTGAGACACGTGGTGAGCCACGTGGTGAGACACGTGGTGAGACACGTGGTGAGTCACGTGGTGAGTCACGTGGTGAGACACGTGGTGAGTCACGTGGTGAGACACGTGGTGAGTGAGTGGGTGAGCGACGTGGTGAGCCACGTGGTGAGTCACGTGGTGAGTCACGTGGTGAGTCACGTGGTGAGTCACGTGGTGAGTCACGTGGTGAGACACGTGGTGAGCCAGGAGACGCAGCTCCACCTGGGAGAAGTCTACGGTGGGGGTGGGTCACGTGGTGAGTCACGTGGTGAGTCACGTGGTGAGTCACGTGGTGAGTCACGTGGTGAGACACGTGGTGAGCCAAAAGACGCAGCTCCACCTGGGAGAAGTCTACGGTGGGGGTGGGTCACGTGGTGAGTCACGTGGTGAGTCACTGGGTGAGTCACGTGGTGAGTCATGTGGTGAGTCACGTGGTGAGACACGTGGTGAGACACGTGGTGAGCCACGTGGTGAGACACGTGGTGAGACACGTGGTGAGTCACGTGGTGAGTCACGTGGTGAGACACGTGGTGAGTCACGTGGTGAGACACGTGGTGAGACACTGGGTGAGTCACGTGGTGAGACACGTGGTGAGTCACGTGGTGAGTCACGTGGTGAGTCACGTGGTGAGTCACGTGGTGAGTCACGTGGTGAGACACGTGGTGAGCCAGGAGACGCAGCTCCACCTGGGAGAAGTCTACGGTGGGGGTGGGTCACGTGGTGAGTCACGTGGTGAGTCACGTGGTGAGTTACGTGGTGAGCCACGTGGTGAGCCACGTGGTGAGTCACGTGGTGAGTCACGTGGTGAGACACGTGGTGAGACACGTGGTGAGACACGTGGTGAGACACGTGGTGAGACACGTGGTGAGTCACGTGGTGAGACACGTGGTGAGACACGTGGTGAGACACGTGGTGAGTCACTGGGTGAGTCACGTGGTGAGCCACGGGGTGAGACACGTGGTGAGTCACGTGGTGAGACACGTGGTGAGACACGTGGTGAGACACGTGGTGAGTCACTGGGTGAGTCACGTGGTGAGTCACGTGGTGAGTCACGTGGTGAGACACGTGGTGAGACACGTGGTGAGTCACTGGGTGAGTCACGTGGTGAGACACTGGGTGAGTCACGTGGTGAGTCACGTGGTGAGACACTGGGTGAGTCACGGGCTGAGTCACGTGGTGAGACACTGGGTGAGTCACGGGATGAGTCACGTGGTGAGTCACGTGGTTAGTCACGGGGTGAGACACGTGGTGAGTCACTGGGTGAATCACGGGGTGAGTCACGTGGTGAGTCACTGGGTGAATCACGGGGTGAGTCACGTGGTTAGTCACGGGGTGAGACACGTGGTGAGTCACTGGGTGAATCACGGGGTGAGTCACGTGGTTAGTCACGTGGTGAGACACTGGGTGAGTCACGTGGTGAGACACTGGGTGAGTCACGTGGTGAGACACTGGGTGAGACACGTGGTGAGTCACGTGGTGAGACACTGGGTGAGTCACGTGGTGAGTCACGTGGTGAGACACTGGGTGAGTCACGTGGTGAGACACTGGGTGAGACACGTGGTGAGTCACGTGGTGAGACACTGGGTGAGTCACGTGTTGAGACACTGGGTGAGACACTGGGTGAGTCACGTGGTGAGTCACGTGGTGAGTCATGTGGTGAGTCACGTGGTGAGTCACGGGGTGAGTCATGTGGTGAGCCACGTGGTGAGTCACGTGGTGAGTCACGTGGTGAGACACTGGGTGAGACACGGGGTGAGGCGCGTGGTGAGACACGTGGTGAGACACGTGGTGAGACACGTGGTGAGTCACGTGGTGAGTCACGTGGTGAATCACGTGGTGAATCACGTGGTGAGCCACGTGGTGAGTCACTGGGTGAGCCACGTGGTGAGTCACGTGGTGAGCCACGTGGTGAGTCACGTGGTGAGCCAGGAGACGCAGCTCCACCTGGGAGAAGTCTACGGTGGGGGTGGGTCACGTGGTGAGTCACGTGGTGAGTCACGTGGTGAGTCACGTGGTGAGCCACGTGGTGAGCCACGTGGTGAGACACTGGGTGAGTCACGTGGTGAGCCACGTGGTGAGACACGTGGTGAGTCACGTGGTGAGACACTGGGTGAGTCACGTGGTGAGTCACGTGGTGAGACACGGGGTGAGTCACGGGGTGAGTCACGGGGTGAGTCACGTGGTGAGGCACGTGGTGAGTCACGTGGTGAGTCACTGGGTGAGTCACGTGGTGAGCCACGGGGTGAGCCACGTGGTGAGTCGTGGGGTGAGTCACGTGGTGAGTCACGTGGTGAGTCACGTGGTGAGACACTGGGTGAGTCACGGGATGAGTCACGTGGTGAGTCACGTGGTTAGTCACGGGGTGAGACACGTGGTGAGTCACTGGGTGAATCACGGGGTGAGTCACGTGGTGAGTCACTGGGTGAATCACGGGGTGAGTCACGTGGTGAGACACTGGGTGAATCACGGGATGAGTCACGTGGTGAGTCACGTGGTTAGTCACGGGGTGAGACACGTGGTGAGTCACGTGGTGAGCCACGTGGTGAGCCGCGGGGTGAGTCACGGGGTGAGTCACGTGGTGAGTCACGTGGTTAGTCACGGGGTGAGACACGTGGTGAGTCACTGGGTGAGTCACGTGGTGAGTCACGGGCTGAGTCACTGGGTGAGTCACGTGGTGAATCTCGCGGTGTGGACGGCACCGGTCCAGCTCCCGACAGAGGAGTGGCAGCCTCTCCTCCACACGCGCCACTGAAGGCCGGCACGGCACACCAGGGGGTGGGTGGCCAACACCGCCACTCCCGGCGATGTTCACTACGCCGCTGTACCAGGTACTCATTTGAGGCTGAGTCGACCTAGGGGACGCCCAGGACCGGTTCAGATAATCGCTGCCGCTGCTGGTGGTGGTGTTGGCCGTGAGCGGGAATCGAAACCGGGTCGCCGGGTTCGTAGCGCAGCGTAGCGCTAACCGCTGCACCACCGCTCCCCATACACACACACACGTACACACACACGTACACACGTACACACACACGTACACACGTACACACACGCACACACACACGTACACACACACGTAAACACACGTACACACACACACGTACACACACACGTACACACACGCACACACACGGACACACACGTACACACACACGTACACACGTACACACACGTACACACAAGTACACACACACAAATACACATGTACAGACACGCACACACACGCACACACACGCACACACACACGTACACACACACGTACACACGTACACACACACAAGTACACACGTACACACACACACGTACACACACACACACGTATACACAAGTACGTACACGTAAACACACACGTGCACACGTACACACACACGTACACACACACGTACACACGTACACACACACGTACACACGTACACACACACGTG